CTTGTAACTCATAAGAACTTTCTCATTATTAGGGCAGTTATAAGGAGTGTATGTAGACAGAGGGCACAGGTGTGAGTTGAATATGAAGGAATGCTATATAAAAAAATAAAATTAAGGGGTAAGAGAAGAATATACTGGGAGAAAGGCAAAGGGAGAGGTAGAATGGGATAACTTATCTCACATAAAACAAGGAAGAAATAGCTTTTACACTGGAGAAAAGATGGGGGAGGTGAAGGGGAGGGAATGAACCTTACTCTCACCAGAACTGGCTCAGAGAGAGAATAACATATACGCTCAAGTGAGTACAGAAATCTATTTTACCCTACAGGAAAGTAGGAGGGGAAGGAGATAAGAGAAACAGAGGATGATAGAAAGGAGGGAAGATTGGAACAAGGGGGAGTCAGAAGCAAAACACTTTTGAGGAGGGGCAGGTTGAAAGAAGAGAGAGAATAGAATAAATGGGGGTGGTGGAAATAGGATGGAGGGAAATACAATTTACAACAGTAGCTGTGAAAAAAATTTGAAGCAAGTTTTGCTGAAAAAGACCTCATTTCTCAAAAAAGAGAACTGAGTCAAGTTTGTAAAAATAAGAGCCATTCCCCAATTGATAAATGATCTAAAGATATAAATAATTTTCAGATGAAGCAATCAAAGCTATCTATAGCCATATGAAAAAATGCTCTAACTCATTACTGTTTGGAGAAATGCAAATTAAAACAATTTGTAGGTACTACCTCATACCTATTAGACTGGCTAATAGACAGAAAAGGAAAATGAGAAATGGTGGGGAAAATGAGACATTAATGCATTGTTGGTGGAGTTGTGAACTGATTCAACCATTCTGCAGAGTAATTCGGAACTATGCATAACCTTTGACCTAGCGACGCATTAGTAGGTCTGTATCCCAAAAGAGAAAAACAACAAAAAGGAAAAGTACCTGTGTGTACGAAAAATATTTATAGCAGCTCTCTTCTGGTGGCAAAGAATTGGAAATTGAGGGGATGCTCATCAACTGGGAAATGGTTGAACTAACTGTTATGTGATTATGATGAAATACTGTTGTGGTATAGAAATGATGAGCAGGATGCTCTCAGAAAAACCTGGAAAGACTTACATGAGCTGCTGCAAAGTGAAATGTACTGAGGACAAAGTAATAAAGTAAGATGATCAGCTGTGAATGACTTAGCTATTCTCAACAATAAATGATACAGGGGCAGCTAGATGGCGCAGTGGATAGAGCACCGGCCCTGGATTCAGGAGGACCTGAGTTCAAATCTGGCCTCAGCCACATAACACATACTAGCTGTGTGACCCTGGGCAGGTCACTTAACCCCATTGCCTAGCCAAAAGAAAAACAAAACAAAACAAAACAATAAATGATATAAGAGAACTCTGAGGGACTTGTGATGAAAAATGCTATCCATCCCCAAAGAAAGAACTGATGATGTCTGAATACAGATTGAAGCAGACTTCTTTTTTTTAACTTTTTAAATTTTTTGAGGGTTTTTTTTTTTGGTCTATGTTTTCTTTCACAATATGACTATAATGGAAATGTTTTGTATGACTACGCATGTGTAACCTATATCAAATTGCTTGCCTTTTTAGGGAGAGAGAATTTGGAACTCAAAGTTTTAAAAACAAAATGTTAAAAATTAATTTTACATGTAACTGGGAAAAATAAAATACTAAATAATTTTCTTAAAAGTAGTAGAGAAAATGTTAGTAATGCAGATTACATTTAAAAGTGTGTCAAGCATACATTTCCCCCCCTGGAGAGCCAATTATTAAACATTTACCAGAACTTCACTGTGTATGTGTTTGTGTGTAATACCAGGCTCTGTACCTAAGGCATCTGAGTGTGTTTACATTAATATCCTACCTCACATTCTGCTACTGGCTCATTTCCTTATAAAATTTCTCCCACTGTGCTCAAAGGCAGTCTAGAGAGAAGGTTTTGAGATAATCTTAGAAATATTCCAAGTTATAAAAAACTGTCTTTTTAATTTGTTCAGCCCTTAACTTGAAGTAAATTGGGTAAATCTCTTTTCACATGGGCTAATTTCTTCTCTCTCTCAATTTCAAACTACAAACTTAAACAAAAATTATTGTTTTATAAAAAATATTTTTAAAATTAAGCATATTTTTCTCTTTCACTGCTTTGACAGGGGTGAGGGTGGAATGGGGTATAAAAAGCAAAACTCTTATAATAAATATGCATATTCCAAAGGAAAAAAAAATCTTCTCTTTGATCATGTCCAAAAATGTGTCTCATTCTACATCTTGAGTCTAGCATGTCTCTTTTAGGACATCTATAACATGCTTCATCACTGGTCTTCTAGAATGATAGTTGATGATTGCATTAGTCTGAATTCTTAAGTTTTTCAAAATTATCTTTACAATGTTGTTGTTTCTGTATAAATTATTCTTTTGTTTCTGCCCACTTTACTTTGTATCAGTTCATACAAATCTTTTTAGGTTTCTCTATAACCATCCCTTTCATAATTTCATATGGCAAAATAATATTCCATTACATTTGTATTCCATAATTCATTGTACCATTGCCAAGTTGATGAGCAAGCCCTTAATTTCTAGTTCTTTGTTACTACAAACAGATCTGTTGCACATATTTTGGTACATGTTGGTCCTTTCTTATTGACCTCTTTGTGGTAGAGGTCTCAGACAGGTATCACTAAGTTAAAAGCTGTGCATAGTTCTGCAATTCCTTGGGCATAGTTACAAAATGCTTTCCAGAATGGCTGAACAAATTCACAGTTCCACTAATAGTACATGAATGTGCCTTTTTTCCTACAGCCCTTCCCATGTGTAATTTTCCTTTTTAAAAAAATTATCTTTGCTAATTTGGTGGGGGTGAGATGGAAATTGAGAGTTGCTTTAATTTACATTTCTCTACTAGTCATTTTGAATATTTTTTATAGCTATTGATTGCTTGTATTTCTTCCTTGGAAAATTTCTCATTCACATCCTTTGACGATTTATCAATTGGGAAATTGCTTTTATCATAAATTTGAAACAAATTCCTTATGTATCTTAGAAATGAGACCTTTAGTAGAGAAACTTGCTGCAAAGAATAATTTCTCAGTAGCTATTTCCATTCTAATTATGCTTGGATTGGTTTTGTTTATGCGAAACTATTTAAATTTTATGTAATCAAAATTATCCATTTGATCTTTTGGGATCCTCTGTGCCCCTTGTTTGGTCATGAACTCTTCCCCTATCATAAATCTGAAAGGTACTTTCTTCCCTATTCTCCTGACTTTTAAATGATGTGACCTTTTATATTTGTCATGTATCTGTTTGGAGTTTATCTTGATATATGGTGTCGGGTGTTAGTCTACATCTAACTTCTGCCAGAATGCATTCTAATTCTAGTTTTCCAAGTAGTTTTTGTGGAATAGTGAGTCCTTATCCCTGTAGTTGGAGTCTTTGACTTTCCTGAATTCGAGGCTACCAGCTTTGTTTGCTTCTGTATTTTATGCACAAGATCTGTTCCACTACTTGACCTCTTGACTAGTACTTGGTCTTTTTGATGATAACTGCTTGTACTGTAGTGTGAGATCTAGCGCTGCTAGGATCCACTCCTTCCCACTTTTAAAATCATTTCCTTTGATTTTTTTTTTACCTTTTGTTTCTTTCAATGCATTTTGTCATTATTTGTTATGATTATCAAGAAGTCTTTTGGTAGTAAGAATTGTATGATACTGAATAAATGAATATAGATAACACTGCCATTTTTATTACATTGGCTTGGTCTATCTACTCATAAACAATATTTTCCCAATTATTTAGGTCATTGTTTCCATAAAGAATGTTTTATAGTTGTATTCAAATAGTGAGTTCATTTACCAAATGAGCCAGTTTGCATCAGCTTAAAACATCTATTTCTAAAATTCATTGCTATCGTCACAGAATCTAAGAGTTAGAAGGGTCCTGGGAGGCTATCTGGTCCAATGCCTGGTTTAGATTATGACATTGCCTCAAAATATCAAACATTAGCAGGGGCACAAAACTGAGCTTGAAGCAAATAATTATTTTATTTTGTTTTAGTCTTAGCTTTATAATCACTCAATAAAATACTATAGAGGAAAGAATAAGAAGGAACTTATGATGGAAATCAGACATTAGGAAAAAGCTAAAATGGGTAATGCCAAAAAGAAGGAAGTCTATTTAAAACCGGTCCCTCTTAGACTATGAGCTCGTTGTGGGCAGGGACTATTTTTGTCTCTCCTTGTACCCCCGGTGCTTCTCAGTACCTGGAATATAGTAGGCATTTAATAAATGCTAGGTGACCGACTGACTGAAAATGTATAAAGAATTCAGTAGGATTTTGAAATCATCAAGATTCAATGAGTAATCAAAAGTATGTTACTGTAGAATTTTTTAAAAGTGGGATTTGGAGTCTAAGACATTCTACATTGGGGTTCAAGATTGGCTTACAATAAGAGGAATTAAATGTGGAACATTTAATTACTAACAAACTGAGGTTTATTTAGCCTTACTTAGCTTACTTACATGGGAAGGGTATTCAACAAGAATACAATACTTAGTGTAGGTAGACATGGTTCCCCTCCTCTCCATAGAGAATCATGTCTGGTCAACAGGGCAAACTCTGGTGACTTGTAAGCCTGGACGTCTGTCAAGTTGTGGGCTGGCCTTTTTGATGCCCTTAGACAACCAAGAATCCATGACAACTGCCTGAGCTTCAGGCCTTTGGGCCAATCATGTCTCCAGGTCAGTTTCCTTGTCTTTTGTGGGGGAGGGAGGGAATCAGGCTTAGCTACGTGGTAGGTAACTTGGTATATTGATTTACACTTCTCTTATTATTAATAATTTGGAACAATCTCCATGTGGTTGTTAGCAGTTTGTCAGTCTTCTGAGCTCTTGTTGTATATATTTGTGTTTCTCTATATAGATTGGATATCAGATGCTTAAAAGAGATATTTGATGTAAAGATTTTTTCCAATTAAAATCAGTGAACATAATTTCTTTTTAAAAAAAGTTAAAAATTTTTATTTTTGTTGTGAACTTAACAGAAACCAAATAAAATGAGCACTTCCACATACAAAGTAGAATATAGAAAGGATTATACATAAAACTGCATGTGTTTCCTTTTGGACGCCCTTCTTTTCTCTCCTGTGCATTTTATACACATACTTTCATTTCATTTTTATTTTTTTTAGTGAACATTTATTTTCTGCCCCTCTCCTATCCCTTCCCTTATTGGAAAAAAAGAAAAAAACCCAAGAAAACCCTTGTCACAAATATGCGTAATGAAGCAAAAGAGATCCCCACTTTGATTGTGTCCAAAGGAGTGTTTCTCATTCTACACTTTGAACTCATCACCTTTATGTCTGGAGGTGTGTAGTTTGCTTCTTCATCTATTGTCTGGAATCCTGATTCATCACTGATCAGCAGTCTTAAATTTTTCCAAAAATGCCTGTCTTGTATAAATTGTTCTTCTGATTCTGCTCACAACACTCTGCATCACTTCATACAAATCTTCCCAGGTTTCTCTGAAACCATTCCTTTTGTCATTTCTTATGAGATGCTAATATCCCTTTATATTAATATGGCATAACTTGTTCAGCCATTCCCCAATTTATGGGCACCACCTTAGTTTCTATTTCTTTACCACTACCCAAAGAGTTTTCAGAAATGTTTTTGTACTTGTGGGTCCTTTTCTTCTTTCTTGATCTTTTTGGTGAATTAGCCCAGCAGTAGTATAGCTGGGTCAAAAATCATGCAGATTGCTGACTCTTTGGATATTCCCCAAAGTTCCAAATTGCTTTTAGAATGGCTGAACAATTCACAGATCTACCAATAGCACATTAACATACCTGTTTTCCTATAAGCCCTCTAATATTTGCCATTTTTCTTTTTGGTGGAACATCAGAGTTGTTATAATTTGTATTTCCCTAATTTTTAGTTAACTTAGAGAACTTTATTCATTTGGTTGTTGAGAGCCTGGATTTCTTCCTTATAAAGCTTCCTGTTCATATACTTTGATTATTAATTAGGGATTGGCTCTTATTCTTATACATTTGAATTTGTTATTTTAGATATCTTGGAAAGAAGACCCTTATCAGAGAAACCTTCTACAAAGATTTTTTTCTCCTTAGTGCTTGCCTTTAAATTTTAGCTGTATTGGTTTGCTCTCATACTTTCAATTAAAATCAAGAGTGCAGAGGAGATTGCAGGTCCTACAAAGAGAGTTTAGTCCAAACCAGAAGAAACTGAAGAAACTTAGCAGATTCCTTATCTTACAGGATAAAAATTGTGGTAAAAGTGGGTATGAGGTGGAAGTCACTCATCTTGTGGAGTCTTTATGTACCTTCTCATTGTTTGCCATACTCCTAGTGAGGGTGAGAAGAAACATCCAAAGTAGTCATGAGAATTAGACAGCAAAGGCCTTGGAGGGAGGAAGGTCTGCTGGGAATGGGAGCAGGCAGGGGAAAAGGTAAAGTCTGGAAGAGTGTTATTGTCCATCTTTCAGAGAATGAAACTTAGGCCATGACTTGATTAGTGGACGTATTCTCACAAGCAAAATATGGAAATGTCTTTACTATTGTCGCAGGGATGACATTTTGGTCTCTACGAAATAACTTTTGTCATATAGTACCAGAATGCTTTATTCCACTAAACACATGTGCTGATGGACATTTTCATGCACTAATGGGTCTAGTGGTACACATCTGTAATCCCTGTGACTGCAGAGGTTGAGGCTGGTGGATTGCTTGAGGAGCTATCAAACTTGGTGGGACTAAAAGCTGATCACTTGTCTGCACTAATTCCAATTAACCCTGTAATGAACCTTGGTGGCCACCAGGGTCCTAAAGAAGGCCAGACTGACCCAGGTCAGAAAAGAAAGTCAAAGCTTTCATGTTAATCAGCAATGGCTGTGAGTTATTGCAGCATTTCTAGTCTGAATAAGATAGAGAACTGTTTCCCCCTTGCCCACCAAAAAAGTTGTGGGGGTGGAGGAGAACACCCCATAAGAAACAGACCATCAAAACTCATTATGGTCTTATTGTTATCTGACAACATATGGGCATTCTTTAGAAGTCACCTACAATGAAAATATCCATCACCTTACCCCAAATATTTTCATCGTTAATTGCTGATAGAAATCTTTTATTCTTTCGTATTTGATCATAATACTTGTTTATGAAAATAGTATTCCTTAGAGGAATTCATTTTTTATTTGGGTTGGACTTTGGTCCAAGAGACCCCTAGAGGAGTAAAGTATTTCTGCTCTACTTAGAAACTGTTTTAGTCATTTGGTCAGGGAATATTGGGGTTAGCAAGTTTAGCCTTGAGGTGATTCATAACTGGTAGGTGTCTAACGGCAGGTACCATAGGTTGCCTGTATGGCAAGGGATTCTGGGGGAGGGAGTTGAATTGATATAATTATCACAAAATAACATTTATCTGACAATACCTAGGAGAAATACAGGGGTTAAAGGCAGAGGACTTAGCTTGAATACAGATTTTTCTGAGTTTAGGGAAGTTATAAATTCTACAGGTGACATGGTGTGGTAACTAGAAAGCAGAAGCCAAGAAGACCCCCTGACATATACTAGTTATATGGCTCTGGGCCAGTCTCTTACCCTCGAAAGGCTCTGGGTAACTCTCTAAGGCTCTAAGTTAAAGAGAAGGTGCATCATAGAGAGAATTTCTTCACTTGGGAGTTTCCCGTATGATGAAACCACAAGTGTGGTCTCTACCCCTATCCTTTTTTTCTTATTCAATAATAATGTACTCTCATAACAACAACAACAATTGGAGAGAGCTAAGAACAATAGAATACATATTCATGATAACTCAAAGGTAAAAACAAAAAAAATTACTCAGATATATTTTAAAAACAATGTTAAAGATCTGTATATTTACTTATTAATAATGTCCAGATAGTTAACTGAATTTTTTTTTTTTGTTTTCACCTAGACTACTTTCATTTTGTAGACCTAAATTTATTGTTTCATTTATATTGCTGTTGAAGGGGAATATGTGCCTAACTAGGTATTTCAATTGAAGGTCTAGTTAAAGAAAGTCGATGGCAGATTTCATTACACTCCACATGCTGGTTGTTGAAGAAATAATAAATGCCCCGTTCTCCAAAGTTAGTCGTCACATCTTTATGATCAAGAGAATGAATCTGGGGGTCTGTGAGGTAGATGACTCCTTTTCCATTGCCGGTCACCCAACCTATAATAAAAGAATTTTTGAGTTTTAGATTTCTTAAGAAATATCATTTCAATATTGTAGAATGGTAACATTTCTAGAATATACTTATTTAGAGTAGGGGTTCTTCACTTGGGGTATGTGAAACTTGTTTTTAAAATATTTTTGACAGTCCTTCAATATAATTGGCTTAGGTTGTAATCTTATATATTTGATATTATGCATTTAACAACATTATTTTGAGAAGAGCTCTGTAGACTTCACCAGATTGCCAAAGGGGTCCAAGACACACATAAAAAAGGTTAATAACCTTTGACTTAGAGAGATATCTAGTAAATTTTATGATAGCCAAGATGTTAACAGAATATAGTGTTTGAAGGAACTAATTTATATTGAGTTGACCCCAATCAGTCTCCAGGCTCATTTTACAACATTTAGACTGATAATAATAGCTATCATTTATATTGCACTTTAAGGTTTGCAAAGTGCTTCATAAATATTATCTCATTTGATCCCTGGGAGGTGGATGCTATTATTATCTCCATTTTATAGATGAGGAAACTGAGGCAGACAAAGAGTAAGTGACTTGCCCAGGACCACATAGCTAGTAAGTGTCTAGGGTGGGACTTGAGCTCAGGTTGGATTCAGGGATTTGACCTCTATCCACTTTGCCATTTAGCTGCCTCCTGAATAAATGAGGAATTGGATATTTGGGTTCATAGATTACCAATTCTCTAAGGTCCAGATTGCAATAAAATAAACTTAAGATGAATACTGACTTTATTCTTATTTTAATACTTGAAAGATCTGTGATATCATCGATGGTTTCATGGATTTCTGTGTTCAGAGAAATTCATCACCTGGTTTTTGGTCAGCCTCTCTGAACATGAATAGGTTGATTCTATAACAACAGAGTCCATAATCTGCAGCTTGGTATGACCTTCCATTGATTGCATTTTCTTACCATGGCCTTTAAGAAGCTATAGTCATCTCTAAAGGCAACAAGCTAGTGCAAGTGGATAGAGAGCTGGGCCTGGAGTCAGGAAGACTCACTTTCCTGAATTTAAAACTGGCTTCAGACACTTAATTAGCTGTGTGACCCTGTTTGCCTCAGTTTCTTCATCTGTAAAATGAGCTGGAGAAGGAAATGGCAAACCAGTCCAGTGTCTTTGCCAAGAAAACCCCAAATGAGGTCACAAAGAGTTAGACACAACTAAAACAATTGAAAAACTACAAGTCATCTGTAAGCCACAATGAGACAAAAGAGATCTAGGCTTACTCCTGGAACACTGAAATTGTACTTGAGCATAATATAATATTTCTTTGATGATTTGGAAGGTACTTCAAGATTGCCGAGTGCACCTAGGTCATCATTCTGAGCATCAAAGGTCATTGTAATGTAAGTGCACATGGTGGAGTCAACAGAGTTCTTCTGGACAGAATGCAAGGTTAACATGTCGTACATGTCTGAGGCCAGATCTGAATTCGAGAAGACGAATCTTCCTGACTCCAGGCCCAGAAATCTATCTACTGTGCTACTCAAATCCTGCCGTGAGCACTTATTATATGACTTTGGGTAAGTTACTTCACCTCCAGTCTCATTTTCTTCATCTTAAAACAATGGGGATATTCTGATTGAACTGAACTGTCAGTTTCAGAAGCCGTAGTAAAATTTTTATGCTATCAGAGCCCAAGATGAAATACCTACCTTGTTGTTGTGAAAATTAATGAAAAAATGAGTACACGTAAAGCATTTTTTAAGCCTTAAGGTGCTAAAACGGCACTAAGACTTTTGGGACACCCTATATAACTGTTCTTCATCATCATTATTAACATTATCATCGTCTGGGTTGCACGACTTCTACCACAGATATGAATGAGGAAATAAGGAAGGGCTCAGAAGATATTGTCAAAGATGCAGTTGTTACTGACTATGACACGGACATCACTGCCTACACCTTTTTGGGCACGTGTGCCTTAAGACCTCTGGTAGTCTTCCATACAGTTTATTGTGTGAGATGCTCCCCACAGACACATGTAACATAGTAGAACACAAACAAAAACACTCCAGGAAAGCCACCCAAGTAACCTGACTTACTGGCATTGCTCTGCCTGGCCACACAGAGGTCTCACTTGACTCTCACTCTTTCTTTTGAAAGGTAGATACAATAAGAAGACTGATTTAGAAACACCAACCCAGACACTTGGACCAACTTTGCCTCAAGAGGAAAAAAGAAACCAGGCTGGTGCTTTCATAAGGATTATCGTCAAAACCAATTACCTACTTGCCCAGCCTCTTTGATTATGGGAGGCATCTTACAATCTCATCTGTATAGTAAGAGTAAATGTCTGCAAGAAGGAAATGCTGGAGAAAATTTAATAAGCAAGGAATCAACCCCATTTAACTCTGCTAGTGAGAGATTTAAATGGCAATTCATGATTTTATAGTGGAATCTGGGGTTGCGTGGAACTAAAGCCGCTCAGAGATTATGCACATTCTAGCACCTTGTATGCAGTATGTTTATTGAATTGAATTTAATCATGACTTTTAAAAGCAGCAGTAACATTTTTAGGACACTAGAGTCTAATTTATAAAATTAAAAAAAAACTGTCTACCTTAATCTGGAGCAGAATTTTACATCCTAAAATGGTGCGATCTGTTTTTAAAATAATAATTATTATCAGGAATGTAGACAAGTAGACAGGCAGACATTTACATATGTAGTACACAAGATTATGTTTGGCTAAGAAATGATGAAAGTGGCCAACATTGACACGTACCTTGTAAATCAACCACAACATTTGTGTGGTTGGAAAACTCGTAACAAAAATGTCCATAAGCCAATCCATATTCTGTGGCTTTGTACTCTGTTTTCACTACTTTCGTGTTGTTGGACAGTTTAACAAATTCTCCCAAAATGTAAGGTTCCACACTGACACATCCTTTAATGGTCTTGCCCTCTAAAATCTGGAAGGCAACAAAGAGCGGTCTTAACAAAATAGGGAATCAGGAAACTGCAATGGAAAGAGGAACTTGTTTAAGTTTGGGTTTGGACCCTGCCTCTGCCATTTATCTGTGTGACCTGGGGAAAGCCATATAACTTCTCTGGGCCTCAGGTTTCTCATATGTAAAAAGGGATAAATTTACCCATTCCCAGTGTGGTAAAAATTCTGTCCAGACAAGTAACTCCTTAATCAGATCAATGAGTGAGATAAGGCTCTAACTGCTTAATTATATTGAGTTCAGGAGAGTAGATCCCTTCCCTTGCTGGCTCCTGTCACCAGAATATGTCCAGGACTCTTATTTTCTATGAGGGGCTCAGAAGCTCCCAGGCTTCCTTTGTCTTAGGCACACACACACACACACACACACACACATACATATACACACGTGTGAATATACATGTATCTGTGAATATGTGTATGTGTGCATATATGCATGAATATGTGTGTGTGTGTACACATAGACACATATGTGGGGTGTGCTGATAAATGTTTAACAATAGACTCTCCAAAAAAATACAAGCAAAACGCACTTTTAAGTTTAATTTGCATCATCAACATTTTCTCCATCACTTTCTTAAGACTGGACAATCATTTAAACAATAAATCAACCCTTGATTTGCCAGTTTCCAGAGGTGTAAATGTTCACGTTGAAAACTTAACAATTGGTTGTCTTAAGTCAGTAAGAATTAGCTCCAGCACACCAACCAATCAATAAATATAAAAATTTATCAAGTACCTACTATGTGCCAGGCATTGTGCTAAGTGCTGGGGATACAAAAAGTGGCAAAAGACAGTCCCTGTCCTCAAGGAATTTACTCTATGGAAATCCCAGTGAAGGGATTATCTTGACCAATGCAGATGAAGATCTGATGTTACATGTATGGCCTGAGAGTAATGAGAGGTTAAATGACTTTTCTGAGGTCATTTAGCCAGTCTACATCAGAGGCAAGAATTAAGCTCTGGTCTTCCTGGCTCCAAGGCTAAGCCATACTGCCTCCTATATTTTATATGGACTTATAGATCTAGAATTGAAAGGTACTCAGAAAGCACCAAGCCCAAGATGGAGTTACAGATGTAGTAGCTGAGGCCCAGATAGACTAAGTAACTCGCCTAGGGTCACACAGATTTTAAGTGTCAGAAGTTGGATTTGAATCCAGGTCCTGTGATCAGAGCCTTTGCTCCTTCTACCATACCCTGTTGTCTCCTATTTATTCTTTCAGGGAGGCCTTTGCTTAGGAGTCCATCCCTATCTTGATTAATCATGAATTTCTTACCAGCAGTACTGTGGAAGGGATGTAAAAGATCTGTGTTGGGATCTTTTGCTCATAGAGTCTTTTGTTAAACTCTGTGACATAGTATTGTGCGGTCATCTGCCTCTCCACATCAACGAAATGGTGCCAAAGTCCTTTTTGTGATTTATATTCTTTTCCAACGTATCTATGGGGGAGAAAAACAAGCAGAACCTGGAGCAATCTCCCTAAACTCAGGGCAGAACAGGAGAAGAAATTGATTCGATGTATCTGAGCGGCTTTGGAAAGCTTAACAATATACAAATTCTATACAAACACAAGGTAACATTATAGCTTTGCCTCTCCCTGTCAATTTTATTTCCTATATTTAGTGACTTCAGTGGTTTTGCCATAACAGTAGCTGAGCATAATTTAATTCTGAGCTCCCTTCTGTCAATGCTATTGACTATAAAGAGAAAGTATCTATTTATTTATTAATTAGGCAATTAAGTGACTTGCCCAGGGTCACAGAGCTAGTAAGTGTCAAGTGTTTGGTCTGAGGCTGGACTTGAACTCAGGTCCTCCTGACTTCAGGGCCGATGCTCATCCACTGTACCACCTAGCTGCCCCGAAAGTGCCTATTTAGTGTAGCACTGCACCAGACACCCATTAGTGCCAGGATTGGGAGGCAGTGGGATTCAGTGGGAAAAGCCCTGGATTTGGACTTAAAGGATCCTTTGTTCAAATCCTGACTCTGATGCTTACCACCTGTGCGACCTTGGGAAAGCAATTTAGCCTCAGTTTCCTTATCTGAAAAATGAGAGGGTTAGATTGGATTAGATTGGATCTTTTCTAGCCCTAAATCTATAAGATTTAACTAAAGTATGTGAGTTTTAAAAAGCCCACAAATAATCAGTTCAACAGAAAGACTGTGTTTATTTTATGCAGAGGATAGTGGTGCCATCTCCAGTAATTCTGATCTTGCCACTGGACTCAGATGGCTCTGGAGGAGAAAGTGAGGCACAGCCCTCCCTCACTTAAATCCAATTCACTTGCAAGTCATGGTATCGCCTCCCATATGTCATGGTCCCCTTTGAGAATGAAGGAAAAACAAAAATATGCAGAGGAGTGATCAGGTGATTCTCTTATTCAACTTGAAGGTGCTGCAGGAAGGTATGGTTCCCAGTAGAGGTGATAGACACGTGCATTGGCACCTCGTTGAGTGGACTGAGGACATGGCTATTGTCTTCAACGTCTTGAAGCCACCCTTTCACCCCTCACTAAGAATGAGAGATCAAGTCTCATCAATGAGGAATGACTTGGTTGGATTTGGCTGTTATGGATGAGAGCTATTCCTTTGTGCTGGTCCTAAAAAGGGGAACTGACAGATCTTGGCAGCTCTTACTTGGAAAGTTCCCAAGATAGTTGAGCATAGGCATGAAAACTGTGGGAGAAGTATGGATAAACTTAAGTCCCAAGGGATGGGGGAAATACACAATGAAGTTGCATGTTTTATCAGCCTCATGACAAAAGATAGTGGTGAAAGAGCCTGGACCCAACTTGGAGAGAAAGAGAATCCTGGGACCCAGTCTTCTAAAAGAGGAGGAAATAGTATACTTGGGCAACAGTGACCTCTTAAAAAGATCTCACATATAGTCCCAGAACTGAAGGAGTAACAGGGATGATATATATAACAAAAACCTGGGGTTTTCTCTCTGCTTTTACAGTGAGTTACTGAGATACTGCAGTTCTAGTGGGCAAGGAGCTTGCCTTTCTAGGAACCTCCAGCACATTTCCCTTCCGGAGAAGTCCAAGTCCTTACTTAGGCTTCCTAAGTAAGGGCTTTAAGATGGGAATTACTAGTATGTAAAGAGATTGCTGCTCTAGCACCCTGAAATTTGTTTCTCTTCTAGGGAGAGTTAGTGCAAGCCCAGGGCTTGGGAATTTGGGAGACTATAAGCTATGAGTCAGCAGGGTGAAGTGGGAGTCCCAAACAGGAATGTAATTTTGGGATGCATTTAGAGAAGTGTGGTCTCCAAGAAAAAGGAGGTGATCGTGTCCTCTAGTATGCTCTGGTCAGACCATAAGTAGAATATTGTGTTTAGTTCAGGGTCAGAGTGGATAGAGCTCTGGGCCTGGAGTCAGGAAGACCTGGGCTCAAATCTGGCCTCAGACACTTAGTCACACAACCCTGTTTGCCTCAGTTTTCTCATCTGTAAAGTGAGCTTGGGAAGGAAACAACAAACCACTTCAGTATCATTGCCAAGAAAACTCTAAAAGGGGTCACGAAGAGTCAGACACAACTGAAAATGACTCAAGCATCACCACCACCACCGCCACCACCACTACCACCATGTTTAAGGAAGAATGTTGATAAATTAGAGAGCACCTAGGATGGTGAAGAGCCTTAAGTCGATGCTATTGTATGATTTAGTGAAAAAACTGGGGATCCTTATCTTAGAGAAGACAAAGCTCAGGGGGGCCATGATAGCTACTTTCAAGAACTTGCAAGGCTTCAGAAGAAGGGATAGATTTGTTCTGCTTGTCCCCAAAAGATTGGACAAGGACAATGGTGGGGAACCTGTGGCCTTCCTTAAGTGTGGCCTTTTGAACCAAAAATGTGCAGTCAAAAGGCTGCACTTAAGGACCTAGAAGGCCACATGTGAGCATAAGGCCGCAGGTTCCCCACCCTTGGACTAGGAAAATGATTGGGTGTTGAAAAAAGGTAAATTTTGGCTTGATGAAAAGTAATACTACTGAAAGAAGTGTTAAAAGTGGAATGGGCTGACTCAGAAGGTAATGGGTTCTTCCCTCACTAAAAGGTTTCAAGCAACGGTGAGATAATCATTTTTCCAGTCCATTATAGTGGGGATTCTTCTTTGAGGAATGAATCGGATGTAATGGCAGCTGAACTCAATCTTCTGTAGCACTAGAGCTTGATTCCATCTTGGGATCTTGTTTTGGATTCTTATGGACTGCAAGATAGCATGCGGTTAGTTTGATGGGGTTCCTATGAGTCCTTTGGGTTTTCTGTAGGATTGGCTCTGACTTACAATAGCCCAAGGCAACCAATTCATTTTAAATTATTAAGACTCAAACCCTCAACCTCAGTGTGGTACATATAGATTGATAAGGCCTAGAAAATGTCATTAATCCTCTCAACCAGGTATTACTGGGCATGCCTACCCCCTGTCTGTGTGACCTCATTGAGTTGATCAGGGAACTCCCTTGAATTACATTTACATTAATCACGTTTTTTCCCTCTTTTTTGAGCAATACCTTCCCAAAATTTCTTCCTGATGAAGGAGGTGTATCCAAAAGGCATTCCTTTGTTTACCTTTCTTCTTTACAACCAGGTAGTCACCAAAATATACAGCAGTTTCCTGGGCTGTCCACAATTCTGATTTCTTGGAATATTTTAGCAAAAGAGCATCTGGAAAAAGAAAAGAAGAAGTTAGCCATATTTTGAGCAAGACTATTATAATTTGGGAAGAAGACTAAATAAACAGAGGCCTTAAAGGATATCTGGGAAATTTTTTTCAAATCCTTAAAAAATATTCCCTCTCAAATCTCACACATTTTTAACTTCTAACTTCTAGACAAAAGGGCAATAACATGATGAATTTGCAAGAGAGAGAAGCCTTATACTAATAAAGCATTCTGTTGTGGATGATGGCAAGAAGCAATATAAGATAAGGCAAGCACTTATGGAAGAAAAATTTATGAGGCATGTGACATGGGATATTTTTAAGTTATCAGAAAACAGAAAAGTAATCATTTGGAAAGAGAAATATAATCCTATCATTTTTCAAACACCCGGAGGTGACCTTGAAGTGTAGAATACACAGGTAAAACTATGTAGCATGGGGCAAAGAAAACATCTCCAAAATGGCTCCACCTCACTTTTCCAATTCTTGGCCTTCTCTTCCACAGATTAGTCAGCGTCCTTTCCTCCAAGAGGGTACTCTTTTCCTCTCCTCTCTAGTTCTAGAACTATCGACCACGATTGAATCAACTTTGCCATTCTTACTAGATGACATATATCAATCTACTCATCATCCCTATAACTTTCTGGGCCAAAATACCTCTCACTGGCCACTGCTCCTTTTTCTATGTTACCTCCCTCCATCAAGGGTAGAGACTGTCTTTGCTTTTTATATTTGTATCCTTGATATTCAGCACAGTGTTGGGCACATAGTAAGTGCTTCATAAACTTATTGATTCATTCATTCCAATACCTCACTTAAGTTGTGACTTTTAAAATTACTAGCTATGAAGCTACTGAGCCTGATTATCTCTTTGAAGCTAAAATCGCTTTTATAAAATTGGGATCATCCTTTACTTGTATACTTCACAGACCTGCTTTGAAGAACAATGGAGATAATATATGTGAAAGTGACTTATAGATGTTAAAACAAGATGCAGAGAAAAGGTGTTCCTGGTTTGTTACTGGATCCCAAGACAGTAACTGTGTCATTAATCTCACTGGTTACCTGACTCAGGTTTGTGTCTTGGCCTCCAGGAGGTGAAAGATTGATTCAAATTTCACTTTGCACTCATGCCTTTGTCTTCTGCAATATTTACTGGACTTTACAAAAACTGACCATCTAAACATCATATGATGCATTGTGCTCTAGAATGAGGAATAGAACAGAAATAAAGAGATCATTGGATTCTAGAGCTGGGTGGGGCTCTAGAGGTTATCTTGTCCAATGCCCTCATTTTAACCCATCAGGGATGGTTAAGGAGGTTGAACAAAGTACCTCATCAGAAGTGGGATTTGAACCTGTCCTATTCCCCACGTTTGTGATTTTGGACTGGTTACGGCTCTAATTTGGGTATCATTTTTGTTTTGTTTTTCTTTTAATCTGTGTAAGGAGAGAGTTGGACTAGAAAAATGTTAAAGTTCAGGCTAGTTATAAAATTGGATTTGATCATAGATTTAGACCTACGAAGCATCTTAGAGACCATTGAATCCAACTCCTTTATTTTACAAATGAAGAAACTGAGGCACAGAGAGATTAAATGATTTGCCCAGTTATACAACTAGCAAGTGTCTGAGGCAAAATTTCAATTTAGGTCCTCTTGACTCCAGGTCCATTAATAATAACAACAACAATAATAGTAATAATAGCTAACATTTATATAGTGCTTACTATATGCCAAGAACTGTCTTAAGCACTTTGCAGTTATTATCTCATGTGATTCTTACAAAAACCCTGGAAAGCAGGTGCTATTATTATCCCTATTTTTCAGATGAGGAATCTGAGACATAAGAGGCTATCTGACTTTTGCAGAGTCACACAGCTAACATGTGTCAGAAGCAAGATTTGAACCCAGCTCCAGTCCACTACTAGGCCAAGCTGCTTCTGGGTCTATAATTGTATCTTTGTGAGAGAGCACAGTTGATGCTATTCTCGTCTTTGAACTAGGAAGAATGGCACATTTGGCCAGCTGGGCTGAGAAGAACACCTTGTCTTCAGCTATTGCATTCAAGATTATTTCCAGCTACAGAATCAGTCAAATGCCACATTAAATGTATAGTATCCTGCGCACATACACATCATGTCTGATGTCTGCCAGAGGAATCTGAGCCTTTCATGAATTTTATATCTCAGGGGTTGTATTTTTTATTTCATTTTTTAAAATTAATTTATTTTGATTTATCAACAATCACTTCCATAAGCTTTTGAGTTTTAAATTTTTCTCCTCCTCCCTCCCCACTTCCCTCTCCAAGATGGCACGCAATCTGATATAGTGAGAATTTCTTTTAAAAAAAAGCCTTATGGGTGTGCTTTTTTTTTTTTGGTAAAATCCTATGATCCTAGATCATTTTCACCATTCAATGGTTTCCACATCTTCTCAACCTGCAACAGAATCCTCCCTTGGAACAAAGAGTAGTTAACCAAAACAAAGCAATACATGTTGCTGATGATATATACCTCATTCTTCACCTAGAGTCTCCCATCTCTCAAGAAACGCAACATCTAGCTATCCAATTGAGCTTGATAAGTATTTATTGAGGTTACCGATGATGTGAAGATGACTGTGTTTGGCTTCACAAAGCTTCACAAATCAAGACCCAACTTGGTGGCTGCTTAATATTCAACCCTTGTCCCCCACACCACTTACTGTGTGCTTGGTGGAGCTCCCTGGGCTTAAAAACTCCTGTGTTCTCTAGTCTCTGGAATAACCAATCATGCTCTACTCCTGACAGGAGTTTCTCAAAGTCATTGTCCTCCAGGGTGCGAGCTTCTAGGACTTCTTGGTTGGCCTTTCCTGGTATAGATACAAAAGAGCTTCCACTGGAATTGAGAAATGACAAGGGACTTCTCACCTCAGAAGAACCATTGGAAAAATCAAGTGAATTGAGCAACCTTGATAAAGAGGAGTTAGAATTCTGCCTACAGTTTCCAAATTCATTTCCTCCACCATGATCCTCTGTGGTGGTATCATCACACAGAGTGGGGAATGGTCTGCTACTGTTTGCCCAGGAGCCAAGGGCATTGTTCACCATCTGACAGGTTTGCTGTCCCAAAGTATTCAGTCTATGAGACCCATTTTTATTTGCCCAGTGGCTCACCTTACTACTAGTGAGCTTCAGTTCCTTGTCATTTGTAGAGGTGTCTGACTCATCTGCATGCCTTTCTATGGCCTCTTCTTCTGCTGTGATGAGCTTCTTCATGGGCCATTGATGAGTGAAAGAACTACCAGTCATAGTATATTTATTGGCTAAAGAACAAGTAGAAGAGAGTTTGGTGCTTTTAGATTGACCCAAGGAAGTGTCCTCTATACTTTCTGTAGTTTCTTCTTCCTGATCAATCCAAGAAATCAGTCCTCTAAATATGGGTTCTTCATTTCTTTCAGTGGTTTTTACTCCCTTCTCTTCTCCATTCTTGACTCTTAGATTCCCTTCATCTTCAGGTAACCTATCAATCACCTCATATGAGTCTGATTCTTCTGGGGAAGACAATGAGATGATCTCCCTAGACCTGCTAGAGGCAGAGGAACAAGAAGAGGCCCTTAAGTGTCCAAAGAATGGAGAGTCATTTTTGGATTCCATATTTCTTATTTCCTGTATGTTTTCTATTTCTAGCTCTCTGTTGGCTAAGATTGCTTTACCAGAAACTGAGGCTGTGCTTATCGTCTTGTGGGAAGCCAAGAAGGGATTTTGAGAAGGACCTGAACAGTCTTCTTTGGAGTCCTTGAAAGAGGCAGGAGGAGGCACTGAAGCAAATGAATGGAGATTGCTGTTTTCATCACGATTCTCCAGGTCTTCAGTCAGGGCTGTGGAACACTGAGTGTCCACTAGCATTTTTTCTTGAATGGTCTCTCTTCTGACTGGCACATCACCAGCATGATCATCTACTTCCTCCCAGCTAGTAGATAAGCTGGATCCTGATATCTTGCTCCAAGAGTTAGATGTCTGACTTCCATTCAGAGAGTTGCTAGAAACATCAGTTTGCCCATTACTGAAGTGGTCTGGTGGTTCAGTTTCTGTCTCTTCATCAAGTGAGACATGAGCTACATCTGATTGGGGCCATTTTCTTCTTTCTTTTATTTGGATCTTCCCATGATTCTGACTGTGTTTTTCTGAAGAAGGTATTTCAATGCCTTTTTGACTTAACAGTTTGTCATCACTAGTACTCAAGGTGTCTGCATTTTTTGTCTCAGTTTTCAAGGATGTGATACAGGCTCCTGTTTTTACTTCTTCTCTACTCATGTGGCTCTTACATTTACTTTCAAATACTTCACACACTGAAGCATGGTGTTGGGAATGCCTTTCAAGGATTCCTTTGAAATCTACTTTGCCATGCAAGATAGGCTGATCAATCCAAGATTTGTAACTCTCTGGGACATAAGATCTGTCATCTAAATTGGAGAAACTTTGGACTTGCAAATACTTCTTAACCTGCTCAATATCAGACATGATCTCCCGAGCCAGTGTTTCTTTGTCTTGAGTCCCCCTTGAAGTGGAATAAGCATACAGTTTCCCCACTGCTTCTCTACAAAGTTTATCTGAAACACGGACTGCTTTGGTCTCCCCACTGAGGTTCCGGTGCACTGTGGTGAGGCAGAAAGCAGCTTTGATGAAACTGTGAAGCTCCTGTTTTCCCGCAACTAGGTCATTGTCTTTTTTGGTGAGGAGGCCAATTTCAAAGGCCTCTTTGGCTTCAGATAAATACAACTTTCTCTTTTCTGGAGGACAGTCAGCAGAGTTACTATAGGACAATAAACACGTGCCTCGGATGTTCTATTGAAAAAATAAAATCAGATATCTAGTTAAAAACCTGGGATTTTATTTTACTAGAGCTTAAGATGGAAAGATCTCAGAGCTGAAGTGGCTTTAGAAAATACTGAAGAATGGCTTCGCATATGCATAATTAAGTAGCAAGGAAAGATAGGGGATATTGTATGTGTCTATTTACCATTCCATTGTAACCTTGACATTTTTCTGTTAAAGATGATTGACCCATGAGTTCTTGCTCATAGAGCCTAGGCATGGACATAAGTTGTCTTCAAAATAAGGCAATTGAACATATTCACACACAAACTGGTCTTTGCATCAATATGCATCTAGATAATAATACTTAGTACTCAGGGGCAGATGGCATTTTATTGCTCAAGCAGAATTAACTTAGCTCCTACCATGATGCTACAATACTAAGTATTAAAGCCTTTCCCCTACATGAATAGTCTCTAAACTAATACTGTCAATTACATAGCAGGAAGCCTGGCTTAACTGGATTGATTTTTTTTCCCCCTACCACTGGATAAATCTGAAAGGCCAGAGGGCAAGGAAAGACTAATGGGCTTGCTATACCACACTTACCACAGCTGTGAGCACAAAAAGTGGGGTGTACTGGCTAAAGGCAGCAGCTAGCTTACAGGCAGCGGCTGCTGACAGCAAATGGTGATCAAACTCTCTGAGAAGGTTCTGCAAAGAGAGTAGAAGAGACAACAGGACTTAGATACCCTCTTGACCAGGAGCAAAAGTGAGTGGTAATGTGATAAACTGCTGTACTCAAGATTCACATTTGGGTTTCCAAACCTTAGCTCTTTTCACATCTACAATGAAAATATAGCAGGAAAGAGGAGTTAAGGGGGCCTGGGATTCCAATTCTCTGTAGAGCCCTCCTCCCTTTTCCTTTCTTCCCCTGACTCTCTCCCTTTCCAAAGAGAACAGGATTGCACTTAAACCTTTTTCATATAATCACCAACTCATTGATGATTAGTGCACATTTATTGGCAAAGACTTCATTAGCTTGTGATTTAGTAGAAATTAGGATGCTAGTATAACGGGGAGGGCAGAGGCGTACTTTTTTTTCTGTTTCTATAAACTAGTTCTGTGTGTATAAATGGAATTTAAGGTCTAGTAAAAGTTTGAGAGAAGGGACTGCTTTGTTTTTGCTTTTGTATGCAAAATACCCAGCACAGTGCCTGGCACATAGTGGGGGCGGATATTTATAGCAGATCTCTTTGTGGTGGCAAAAAACTGGAAACTATGGGGATGCTCATCAAATGGGGAATGCCTGTGGTATATGATCGTGATGGAATACTACTGTGCTATAAGAAATGATGAACTTGTTGATTTTAGGAAAAAACATGGATAGACTTGCATGAAATAATAATTGAAATGAGCAGAACCAAGAGATAGCTGTATACTGTAATAGCAATATTGTTTTAAGAACAACTTTGAGTAACTAAGTCATTTTGACTATTATAAATAACCAAATTAACTACAAAGGACCTATGAAGGAAGATGTTATCTGCATCCAGAGAAAGAAGTGATAAATAAAAGTATGTATAGAATGATTTTACATATATATATATATACATATATATATATATATTATTTAAACATACAAACACACATACACATATATATTTGTGTCTAATGGTAGCTATCTCTAGGGTGAGGGCAGGGGAGGGAAGAAAAAAAGGAAAAAAGAAAGTTACACAATAAATTTATTATATAGTTAAAAAGAATAGCAAGCAAATATCAGATGTGAAGTTTCATGTGCAATCATCTTTTTAAAAAATAAAATAAAAAGTATAAAAAATGTTTCTTGATTAAATACATAATTGAAGTGTAGTATTGTCCGGACCTCCCTACAAAGTAGCATGCTTACTTTCTATATTCGATGAATAATTTGATTTTAATAATGTCAGTTTAAAAATTCTCAAATTGCCATGCTTCATTAGAACATGGTCAGGTCAACAACTTTGAATTTTCAATGGAATTCCATTATAGCACATAAGAAGGACAAGAGACTAGAGAAAATGGACTAAGGGTTTTAATTTTAGCTGGAAAATGTTAAAACTCCTAAATGTTTCATTTTACCAATCTAATATGCCCAACATGCAACCAAATTGTGTTTTTTCATTTTATTTGTGTGGTTTTTTTTGGTTAGGCAGTGGGGTTAAGTGACTTGTCCAGGGTCACACAGCTAGTAAGTGTTATATGTCTGAAGTCCTCCTGAACCCAGGGCCAGTGCTCTATCCACTGCACCACTTAGCTGCCCCCAAATTGTGTTTTTTTTATTAATTTATTTTGATTTATCAACAATCACTTCCATATGCTTTTGAGTTGAAAATTTTTCTCTCCCTTCCTTCCCCCCACCCTCCCCAAGATGGCACACAATCTGATATAGCCTTTACATTTACATACCCATCAAACGTATTTTCACATTAGTGAAGTTGTAAGTAAAAATTAAAACCAATAGGAGGAACCATCAGAAAGATGAAACAAAACTCAACAGAAGGTAAAAATAAGTGATAGCGATTTGACTTCCATAGTTCTTTCTTTGGATGTGGACAGCATTTTCCATCCCAAGGCCTCTGGAGATGTCTTAGATCCTCATAATGCTGAGAAGAGTTCAGTTTAACAATCTTAGTCATTGCATAACATGGCTGTTATTGTGTACAAAGTCCTCTTGGTTCTGCTCACTTCACTCAGCATCAGACCATATAAGTCTTTCCAGGTTTTTCTGAAGTCAGCTTGTTCATCATTTCTTATAGCACAGTAGTATTCCATTACATTCATATACTACAACTTGCTCAGCCATTCCCCAATTGATGGGCATCCTCTCAATTTCCAATTCTTTGCCACCACAAAAAGAGCTGCTATGAATATTTTTGTACATGTGGGTCCTATTCCCATTTGTTTGATCTCTTTGGGATATAGCCCTAGAAGTGCTATTGCTGTATCAAAGGGTATGCTCATTTTTGTAGCCCTTTGGGCATAGTTCCAAATTGTTCTCCAAAATGGTTGGATCATTTCACAACTCCACCAACAATGTATTAGTGTTCCAATTTTCCCACATCTTCTCCAACATTTATCATTTTCCTGTTTTGTCATGTTGGCCAGTCTGATAGGTGTGATGTGGTACCTCAGAGTTGGTTTTGATTTGCATTTCTAATCAATAACGATTTAGAGCATTTTTTCATATGACTATAGATGGCTTTAATTTCTTCACCTGAGAACTGTCTGTTCATATCCTTTGACCATTTATCAATTGGGGAATGGCTTGTGTTCTTATAAATTTGTCTTAATTCTCTATATATTTCCCTTATATCGATGTAATATTATTTGCTTAACCCTTCCCTAACTGTGGGATATTAAAGTCATTTCTCATTTTTTTCAGTTACAAATAATGTTGCTATGAATATCTTTGAATAGACAGCTACTTTTTCATTCTAATTATACTCTTAGGATACATTAAAAAATACAATCATTGGGTCAATTATCTTTGTAATTTATAATGCTCAAAAAGATTCTATCATTTTGCAATTCCAACAACAATGTATGACTCTGATCACAAGCCCTCCAACACTGAATTTGGGTTTGAAATGATAACTCAATGCTATTTTAATTTTCTTTCCTTTGTTTATTAATGAGGTTGGGCAAATATGCAAGTGATTATTTATAATTTGTGTTTTGTTTTTTGTATCCTTTGACTATTCAACCTAGGTTTTTAATTAGATAAAAAATGCAGGAGCCAACACGCTGATGGAATTTTTGTAGGTAAATCGATGCTATAATATGTTTGAAATGAAATGATAATTACCAGGGTAATTTGAGGGTTGTTTTTAAAATTTTCATACTCTTTCTTACTCATGGAAACAAAGATGTCTGCCAATATGCCCAGTGATGTAGCAATTCCCTATAAAGAAAAACAGAAGTTAAGTGTTTAGGGCTGCTTATTGTTTGTGTCTCTGATTTGCCCTAGGAAGGATATCCTACAGCATCAATTGAGCCTCCTCTGTATTCATTCCTCTTAAAAATTCCAGCAGCTTAGCACTAGGAGTGCTTTTAAACTGAAAGCTGCAAGCATCATGATGAAGTGGGATGATCAGTCAGCAGAAGTGAGTTCTAATCCTGACTCTACCACAAAATCACTTAGTGACACAGAACAAGTTACTTTAACTCCTTGTTCCAATTTTCTCATCTGTAAAATGAGGGAGTGCTTATGAAGGTCCATTCTCTCTCCCATAGACTATTCAGGATGGCTGAGGGCATATGGCTTTACCAAAAGCATTGACATTTCTTGATAGCTCTCTAATTTTCATTGATGTATCACTACAAGCTCATTCTCAGTATTTACAGACAATAGGAAGTGTCGCTTGTTAAAAAAAAAGAGAAAACAACCCCTTACCCCAAACTACATTATAACAGGAGGCTATAGACCACAGATTTAGAGCTGGAAGGGCCCTTAGAGCTACCTCATTTTACAAACAAAGAAACTGAGACTCAAAGAAGATAAATGATTTGTGTAATCACGCAGACAGCAAATAAGAGGCAGGATTTGAATTTAAATCCTTTGATTGCAGAATTAGATTCTTTCCACTGAGGTAGTGTTTCATCTACAGACAGCGAAGTGGTCCAGTGGATGGAAGGCTGTACCTGCTGTCAGGAAGGAAGGAAAGAAGAGAAGAAGGTAGAGAGAGAAGAAGGAAAAAAAGGATAGAAAGGAGGAAAAGAGGGAGGGAGGGAAGAAGGGAACGAAGGAAGTAGGAAGCATTTATTAAGTACCTACTATGTACCAGGTACTATGCTAAGTGCTTTATAAACACCATCTTTCTGATCCACACAGCAACCTCAGTAGATGAGTGCTATTATTATCTCTACCTCACAGTTGAGGGAACTGAGGCAGACAAGTCAAGTGAACTCATATCCGATCTCAGATGCTTCCTGGATGTATGACCCTGGGCAAATCATTTAACTTCCATCTGTCTCAATTTTCTCAGCTGTAAAATGGAGACAATGATAGCATCTACCTCAAAGGATTATTGAGATAACTACATGAGACAATATCTGTAAAATGCATGATCAGCCTTAAAGTGCTACATACATCTAGCTATTAGTATTATAACTTTACTCAGAGTATCCCAGAGGTTTAATTAGTGTTTGGAACATTTCCATATTGTTACATAGGATGAGAATACCATTCAAAAATAAAAGACTACTTTTAAAGAAATGATACTAATATTTTAGTCATTCAATTAATTAGTCTTAGACTAGTGGTTCCCAAAGCTGAAGCCACAAAAACCTTGAGTGGAGGAGGCAGTGGAGCTTGTGGACCTTCTGTAAGGAGCTTATTCACTTCCAATAAAATATGAATAATGAATAATGGGCTAAACGTCAACAGTTTTATATTATTTATGCTTTGTTTGGACCTAATGCAATGCTTTTCCCCTGGCCTTTTGGATTAAGACCTTTTCTTTTTCTGTTAAGAGTTATAAAACACAAATCATAAAAATATTATTGGATTCATAGTATCTCTACATTATTATGTACTTTCTAAATTGTTGAATATTAATAATGCATACTAGTTGGGAAGGTTTGTGAAATGTTTTGATATTAAAAAGTGTTCCTCATAAAGGAAAAGGTTGGGAACTATTATCTTAGGATATTTTAGAAAACTAGACAGTAGAATAATAACTTTGTATATACCCAAATCAGGTCCCTTAAATTCTTGTGGAAGTGGGTAAGATAAAAATCCTAAGTAAACAAATAAAATATAAGTAGGTAGCTTTAGTGATATGGTTTGCCCAGGATTCAACAGTGAGTGAAGGTAGAACCAGGCCCAAAAGCATGCTTCTGTATTGTGCTTGCTACCCATCATGCAGAAGAAAAATAAAATTAAGATGATCTAGGTAAATAAAATTTATGCTTTAATCACTTTTAAGGGAGAGAGAGAGAGAGAGAGGGAGAGAGAGAGAGAGAGAGAGAGAGAGAGAGAGAGAGAGAGAGAGAGAGAGAGAGAGAAAGGAGAGAGAGAGAGAAAGGGAGAGAGAGAGAGAGAGAGAGAGAGAGAGAGAGAGAGAGAGAGAGGGAGAGAGAGAGAGAGAGAAAGGAGGGAAGGAGGGAGATTTGGAGACACTAAGATGGGGAAGAGAGAAAATAATTAATTCACCTTTTTATCAGGCTGAGGAAGTTCCAAATACCCTATGATTGAAGCCCAAATTAATTCTGCAGCTTCATACCACATTCCTGAAATAAAGCAGATTAATAGTTAGCAACCACCTGGGCTTCCTTAATGTAAAATGCCTTTAAGCATTCTTTTAAAGTAAGAAAAAGAATATTCATTCTATTGGTACAGAGCTGGGTTGGATTTGCAAGTTAATTGTATTGAACGATCTGTTTTTGACATTTGGTTTATATCTGCCCTTTATATACTTAGTTTATAGCTGACTTATAGGGAAATGGTCAAGAGTAAGCAAGAACACCGGAGTTGGAATCCGAGGATGCGAGCTCAACTCTGGGCCATGTTGTTTACCAGCATTGGTTTGCAAAGGTCACTTAACTCCTTTGTTGTTGTTCAGTTGTTTCAGTTGTGTCTGGCTCTTCATGACCCTATTTGGGGTTTCCTTGGCATAGATAATGGAGTGCTTTGCTATTTCCTTCTTCAGCTTATTTTACAGATAAGGAAACTGAGGCAAACAGGTTTAGGTGACTTGCCTAGGGTCACACAGCTTGGAAGTATCTAAGGCCTGATTTGAACTCAGGAAGATGAGTCTTTCTGATTCCAAGCCCAGTGCCCTATCCACTATGGTGCCACTTAGCTGCCCCATTTAATTCCTTTAGGACTCAGTTTCCTCAGCAGTAAAATGAAGAGATTGGCTGAAATGATCTCAAAAGTCTCTTCCAACTTTAAACTCTGTGTTATTAAACTTTAAACTCTATATTACTAAAACTGCTCTTGAAGTTGAAGTTGGAAATTATTGACAGGCAAATCAGCTCTCTCCGGCCAGGTTTACTTCTGTGAGTCGATGGCTAACTAAATATCACTTTAAAGACCGAATTTTAATGAAGCTTCCAAAGAAGCTAATTTACAAATAGGCAGTGCTTTTGTCATTAAGAAAGTTAAGTCTTGCTAAGGGTCTTGAGGGCAATGGAGAGAGATGATACCTGAACACAAGAATGACTCATTCTTAAAACATTATATTTACGTCCAGCTATAATGTCTTATTAAAGGCATTGGGCAGCTAGGTGGCACCATGCATAGAGCACTGGGCCTGGAGTCAGGAAGACTCATCTTGAATTCAAATCCAGCCTCAGACACTTACTAGTTACAAGTCATACAACCTTGTTTACCTCCATTTCCTCATCTGTAAAATGACCTGGAGAAGGAAATGCCAAAGCACTCCAGTATCTCTGCCAAGAAAACCCCAGATGAGGTTTCAAAGAGCCGGACACAACTGAAATGACTGAACAGCAACAACAAAAAGGTTTGGGAATTGGAACTATGATTTCATGAGTTGGGGGAATTCCCAGGGGAGGAAACTTGCTCTATCGATGTAGGTTGGTACCTTCTCTGCAATTTATTGTCTTAGAGTTACCTAGAACACTTTCTCTTACTCACATATCCTGGAGAGATTAAGTGACTCACCCAGGGTCACAGTCAGTATGCATCAGAGGCAGAACTTGAAACTATGTCTTTCTGGCTTGGAGGCTGGTTCCCTATCCACTATGCTACAATGCCTTTTTGCTATAATCTTAAAATTATAATGTTTAAATACAACAGGCTAAAAATTCTATGTGATCAAGACCTGTGGTTACAGGTTACAGTGTAACCTGTGGTTACAATGTGTGGGGCACATTGTCTGGAGGCCTTAAACATTTATTAAGAGCCTACTATACACCAGGCACTTGGCTAAGAAGATTAAAATGCAATTGGGAAATATTTAACAAAATAAATAAAAATACAATAGAAAATGCTAAGATGTGATTTCTATGTCAATATGCATGTAGGGATCTTTACATATTTGAGTCTAATATCACTGTTGTAGGGAATTCTTGGGAAGAAACTCTCTTTCCCAATGAAGTTTGCATTTGCTTTACAACACATAATCTTAGTTGCATGGGGCACCGAGAAATTTAGTGATTTACCCAGTGTTACACAGGTAGTATGTGTCAGGGGTGAAACTTGAACCCAGGTCTTCCTGACTCAGAGGCTGGGTCTCTAGTCACTATGTCACACTGTCTCTCAGATTAATTTTATTATTATTTATTATTATTATCATTTATTAATTTTATTCATATCACTCTTTTAAAAAATAACCAATTTTGGGGATAGTAATGCCCCACAGGCATCTCAAACTCAACTTATCCACAACAGGACTCATTACCTTTCCCCCTAAACTTTCCCCTTTCTCCACATTCCCTATTTCTGTTGAGGGTGCCATCATGCTTCCCATGCACTCAGATGGAAGACCACAGCATCATTCTTAATGTTTACTTTCTCTCATTTCACATAGCTGATCTTGCCAATGTTGCCAAATCCTCTAAGTTTTACCTCAACAACATCTGTGACATGCGTCCATAAGATTACAACCTCCGTTCAGACCCTCGGCATCTCGAGCCTGGGATATTGCAATAACCTCCCTATTGATCTCCCTGCCTCGGGCCACTCTCTTTAGTTCATTCAACAGTGTAGCTACCAAAAGTGAGGTTTCTAATGTAGAAGTACGACCATATTATTCCCCCCCTCAATAAATTCTAGCTACTTCTTATTACCTGTACTTTCAAACACAAACTTGTCCCTTTGATATTTAAAATTCTTACCAACCTGGGAAGCTTACCTTTCCAGGTATCTTCACACATTTGTTGACCCAGTAAGACTGGCTTTCTTTCTGCTCTTCAGGTTTGCTTTTTATATTTTCTTCCATTTCTTCTTACCTCTGCAAAAGCTGCCTGCCATCAAGCCTGGAATACACTCCATCCTCGCCTCCCCTTCTGAGAATCTCCACCTTTCCTCAAAGCTCAGCTCAAATACTACCTCCTTTCGCCTTTAGGTGGTACAGTGGAAGAGCTGAGTTCAGACCCGCCTTGCTAGCTATATGACCTAAGGAACGTCATTTAATCTCTGTCTGCTCCAGTTTCCTTATCTGCATAATGGGGATAATAGTAGCACCCATCTCCCAGGGCAAAACGAGATAATGTCCGTAATGCACTTTGAAAAGCTGAAGGTGTTACATAAATGCTATATTATTAGTGTTGTTATCTCTTATGTGAATTTTCCTTGCTTCCTCTCAGCTGCTAGCACTTCCCACTGGAAATTATCTTGTTTATACTCAAAACCATGAATGATGTTTCTCCCGATAGAATGTGAGCTCCTTGAGGGCAGGTACTGTTTTATCATGTTTGTCTTTGTATCCCTAGTATCTAGTACAGCACGTGGCACAGAATAGGCCCTTCATAAATGCTTGCTTGATTGGTTGAAGTATGCTCCTTAGAGTTCTATTAATTTTTTAAAAATTTGCTTTGAAGAGGATGTTTCTGGAAGGATCCAGATTAAGTATTGTTGGATATAACTGTAACTACAGTGTTCTATACTCCTTGCCAAAGAGTCACATCTAAGTTCCACAAGGACACTTCTGAGGGAGGATAAAGACAGATGTTATGGCAGATTTAGAAAAAGCTATTACCACTTCACAGGAAAGTCCTATTGACAGTGAAATGTCATGCAATGGAAAATATATTAAGAGCAAAATGTTCCCTCATTAAGGTTAACTATGGGTACATTTTTCTTTATATCATCAAATGTATAAAAATTTAGCATACTGCTCTATTAATCTTCATCACATCCTTGGAAGGGATGATGATGATTTTTTGTTTTTTTTTTCAGGTGGGGAAACCGAATTCAAGACTTATTGACTATTCAGTGGGAAAGTTTCCAATGCAGTGCCAATTTCATAATTTCTAGCCTAGTATTCAACACCAGAATTGTAATTAGAAAAATTAAGGGATTTGCCTGAAGGTTCCAATATGTATGTGTGTGGGGAAACCTTTCCCATATATTATCTTCAAGGTCTTATCTACGAATGGGAAACCTGTGGCCTAGAGGCCACATGTGGCCCTCTAGGTCCCAAGTTCGGCCCTTTGATGGAATCCAGATTTCACAGAGTAAATCCCCTTAATAAAAGGATTTGTTCTGTAAAACTTGGACTCAATCGAAAGGTGGAACCCAAGGACCTAGAAGGCCACATTTGGCCTCAAGACTTCAGGTTCCCCACCCCTCCTCTTTTCTATTCTTAGGGCAACCCTTCCCCCAGGGCCAATAGGTAAGATGGCTCCCATAAGAGTCCTGCTTTTCCCACAAGAACATGGCAATCTGAATCTCCTTTCTTCTGGTATGATTGAACCTTCAGCCCACCTGTTCTTTGCACTTCTACAGCTGATTATCACCTCCCCTCAGACAATTATTTTTGCTTGAAGTGAAAATATTTAGAGTGGTGACTCTGCTTGAGAGGCAGGTTGGTGTAGATAGAAACATAAATTCAGAACTGGGAGGACCTGGGTTCAGGTCCTCTGATCCATACTGGCTTGATGCTGGTCAAGTGTTCTTGACAATTCAGTGTTCTAGGTAATTCTCTAAGACTATAAGTTGCAAACAAGATTCCTGCAATCTGCATTGATAGAAAGAATTCATTCATATGGGAATTCTCTGTAAGGATGAAATCAAGGGTCTAGAGCCTATCCTTATTACAATATGAAATAAATATAATAGTGTTTGAATAAGTTACTTTTTGTAAATTTTTCTGGAAGAAATGTATGGCTCACCTAGCTTCTGTAGGATTTGTCCTCTGATTTGAATGCAGACTGATTGGACAAGGATCTTATCACTTTCCTTGTTATACTGCCATGTTCCTGAAAAGAAAAGAAAAGAAATACAGAGAAGCATGTGTCCCTCTGAATGGCTATTTAAATTTCATGTATTTATTTTAAACATTAATTTAAAAAAATTTTGAGTTCCAAATTATCTCCCTCCCTCCTGCCCTTTCCTTACCCACACAGAAGACAAGAAAAGCATATTTCCATAGTAGTCATGTTGCAAAAAACAATTAAAAACCAAGAAACATACAGTGAAAAAAATATGCTTCAGTCTGCACTTAGAGTTTATCAGTTCTCTCCCTAGAGGCAGATAGCATTTTTCATCATAGGTCAACTGGAATCATCTTGGATCATTGTATTGATCAAAAAGTTAAGTGTTTCATAATTGTTCATTGTTACAATGTTGCTGTTACTGTGTATAATGTTCTCCCTACTTCACTGTGCATCAGTTCATATAGGTCTTCCCAAGTTTTTTCAATTCCATTCTGCTCATCATTTCTTAGTGCACACTAGTGCACTTCACAATCATATTCCCCAATTGATGGCATCCCTTCAATTCCAATTCTTATCACCACAAAAAGAGCTGCTATAAATATTTTTGTACATATAATTTCTTTTCCTTTTTTTTTTATCTCTTTGAGATACAGATCTAGTAGTGATATTGCTGGGTCAAAGTGTAGGCACCGTTTTATAGCCCTCTGGGCATACTGAACTGCTATTAAAAAATAAACAATTAATCTGATAAAATTGTTCTTTTTTATATCTTAAAATTATTTTTAGGAATCACATGGTATCTACTCTTTACTTTGTAATTCTTATGATTTTGTGAATTGTTGATTTCTTTGTAATTCTTTGCCTTTGGTGAAAAGCAATAAAGCATGACCTTGGAGGTCACCTAAGGCAGAGGCATCCAGCCTTTCCCAGAGTGAGCTCTACATTCAATTTCATGACAATTTTAACATTACTAAGGGTTAGGGCGATAGGGGGTGGGGGGGAGGAGCTGAAGCTACACTCAAAGATTCCCATGCTGCAAACTGCCTGGCTATTGCCAGAGCTTGATGGGACCGACCCAGAGGGAGCTGTCCAGCTAAAGGGACTTCAGAAGAAATTGGAGGGGGTGGAGAGGGTGTCAATCACACAGGGCCAGGCATAAAACATACATCCAAACGAAACAGTGCAGCCAAATGAGAGAATTCTTTATCTCATTTGCCATCTTTTTATCTCACCAGGTACCAGACTATTGCGGCATGGATCCCATGCCTCAATTTGCACTAATGCCTTCTGTACCTTGGTGGTCCTGGTTTGGGTACTGCTTTTGCTTTAGGTATTGACCTCTTTGTGACTGATCTAACCCTTTTCTTGAGCTTGGTCTGTTTACATATTGATTCTGACCCCTTCTTGCATAGGAACATCTCTGCTGCAACCTCTCTACCCCTACAGCTTCCCAAATCAGAGAAAAATCAAATAGCATCATGGACACTATGCATCTGCAGCCTCTGGGATAGGATATATTCCCCTTTTCCTCTGGAAATGCCCATATAGAAGGCATGGAAGCTGCTGCCAGTGTTGAAATTGATCAGGGTGGACTTTCAAGATCAACCATTCCAGGAATCAGTGATATAAAAATCACAGTCAATACAGATTTCCTATGGCCCTAACCATTAAAAAGTGATTCTTTGTGTGTAGGTTCTATATGCAAAAAACATGGTAGCTAGTTGGTATGAATGTAAGGTAACTGTGTTAGAATGTTGTCCTTGGAATCAGGAAGACCTGAGTTCAAATCCTGGCTCAGAACCTTGCTAGCTGTATGAAACGAGGAAAGTCCTTTAATCTCTCTCAGCCTCAGTTTCTTTATCTGCAAAATGAGGATAATAATAGATCCTAGTTCCCAAGGCTGTTTCGAGTATCAAATGAGATAACACATGTACAATGTTTTGCAAACCTTAAGGTGCTATGTAAATGCCAGGTATTGTTATATGGTTAGATTTTGAAAGAAGAACTGCTTTCCAAAAATGTATTTTAATTAAAATTCTCAAGCGGTTAAAGTAAGTGGAAGAGCTAAATTGTTTTTTTAAAAAATACAAAGGCTACACATTTGCTCTTAAAACATCCTATGCTTAGCCATTGTTTCCTCTGAATTGCCTTTCTAAAACAGTTTCTGAGCACTTTCAGAGATTTCAGTCCAGTTTTTACATAGTATCCAGTTAGATCATACAGTAATATTCAGGGAAGCACTGGATACCCCATTTTTTTTGAATGATCATTATCTTTATTCATACACACTTGCTTTCAAACTACAGTTAGTATATTTAACAAAGCGGATCATGCAAACGAGGAGTAAAGGTCTTAAGAAGTAAGAAAACCAATGCTTATAATTTATACGTTATTCTTTTTTTTTTAAATTCCAGATGTTGTTTGACATTCAAATGGCCTTTACATTTCTTAGTAGTTGTTTACTGATAAAATAAAACAACTTCCTTCTTACAAATATAAATTTGGGGATCTTCTGGTAATTTGCTGGATTAGAGTTTTCAAGTGGCTTTATTTTTGTTAAAAAATTAACATCACAAAAGCAATGCTGCAGCTACCCAAAAAAGTGAGTCTTTCCTAAAAAGATCCTAAAACAAAGGTCATGATTTGAATTTTTAGCAAAATATTTAGACCCAGAGGAATCACTGCCTCCATTCCAAGTGGGTTTGAAATTTATTATCACTTCCCTACTCCTGATCTCCAGGAAAAGAACCAAATTCTTCCAGAAAGGGGAAAAACACACCCCATAATCATTAATTATCTACAGGCATAATCTTAAATGGACATGACACAAACAAAGCTGATTTCTGCAAAATTGTTAACCAGAAAAATGCGGCATCCAATTTTTCTCGGCTTATTTTAGAAAGAATTCTAATTAAGTCTAGCTAATATATGTATGTATGTTTTTCTGAAAATCAGTTCTTGTCTACACAAATCAGTTATGTAAAAAGCAACACCAATGGGCAGGCATGCTGCTCATTCTTTCTCATGGAAATTACATAGAAATGTTTCTGAACATGGAGGAAAGGGTTATGGGATCTGTGGGGACAGAAATAAGCAAAGCAAGGCAAGGTAAGGGCTTGCACTGAAACTAGCAGTGTAGACATCTATGTATGTCCAAGGAAAATTGCACATGAGGCTCTGCACATGACTTCTGACTGACTACAAGTCTCCAACTGAAAGAGTAAAATAGGTGCATCTTTCCTGTAAGACAATTATTCCTGGATTTTATATATTTTTGTCTTCAGTATCTCTTCTATGGCTACAGAGGGGTTTGGGCTACTAACAAATTCCACCAAGACTTCCAGTGTTTTCAAAATGACACAAATTCCCAGAGAAGTTTAAAAATGGATACCCCATTTTCAAAGCAAGGAAAACCAAGAGACAAAAAAGGATAGTTACTATAGCTAATGCTGTACTAAGAGTTAACACTAAAGCTAATATTAGAAGTCGACATGGCTAGTTTCTAATTCTTTGCAGAACATATGGGAGTAATTATGTTTCTTCTAAATCAGAAGTGTGTCATACTGGGGGTAATCACAGTTTGAATGCACATTTATTTACCTGTTGCTCCCTTGTTGCTTATAAGGCTGCTTAGGATGTATTCAGCTTTCAACAGTTTTCCTGAAAAGAAACAACACAATTCCTATCAATTCATATTGAAAAGAAAATGTAGTTCAGATTCCAAGATCATGTTAACAGTAGGCTGATACATCCTTTGGAATCATTCTCATTTTTCACGTTTAAGTGAATAAACTTTTATGTTATGAAAAACTGGGAAAAAAGTTATCTAATGTCATTTGTAGCAGAGAAGTCATGTAATAGTACACATTTCCAAGTGGACAAAGGGTTTGAAGGGTCAGTTAATGATAAGGGACAGTGGGTATACTTGGAAATATTTGAAATGTTAAAGAATTGTTGTTGTTCAGTCATGACCAACTCTTCATGACACCATTTGGGGTTTTCTTGGTAAAGATACTGGAGTGGTTTGCCATTTCCTTCTCCAGCTCATTTTACAGATGAGGAAACTGAGGCAAACAAGGTCAAGTGACTTGACCAGGGTCACACAGCTAGAAAGTGTCTGAAGCCTGATTTGAACTCAGGAAGATGAGGCTTTCTGACTCCAGACTCAGCACTCTGTTCGTGGTGCCACCTAGCTGCCCTCCCCTCCAATCCCTTTAATAAGATGTTATAATTTTTTTGTTTGTTTTTTGGTTTTTGTTATTTTTTTTAGGCAATTGGGGTTAAGTGACTTGCCCAGGATCATACAGCTAGTAAGTGTCAAGTGTTTGGTCTGAGGCCAGATTTGAACTTAGGTCCTCCTGACTTCAGGGCCGGTGCTCTATCCACTGCGCCACCTAGCTGCCCCAAGATGTTATAATTTGACATAAATACAATGTTATAAGAGCAAGTTATATTTATGTTCAGGTATCATCTCTCTCCATTGCCCTCAAGATACTTAACAAGACTTAATTTTCTTAGTGACAAAATCACTGACTTTATTAAAGAGGGCACGGTGTAATGGGTAAAGCATAAGACTTGGAGTGGAATTCAATGCAACAATTATTTATTAACAGTCTTTGTACAAGGCACTTTGGAAAAGGCAAGAGTTGATATAACACAGACACTGCTCTCAAGGTACTTACAATCTCATGGCAGGAGGAAAAGAAAAACAAGAACACCAAATTATGATGCAAGGCATGATATAATCAGTGCAGAAGAGAAGTCCAGGTAAGGTGCTATGAGAAATCAGAAAAGTCAGAGATCCATTTCAGCAAGGGGGTGAAGAGAGAGTCAGGCAAAATGTCAAGGGGGAGATAGGCACCCAAATTAAGCCTTGAAGGAAGGGAAGAATTTAGAAATTGAAGGCGGGGAATGTGTATTCTAGGCATGGAAGATATTTGAGTCAAAGACTCAAATACAGGCTCTAAAACTTACTAATTGGGGCAAGCCACACAACATCTGTGATCTTTGGTTTCCTTAGGTATAAAATGATGATGCCAGTGTAAACACTCCCTACAACATAGAATCTTCAATGCAGGAAAAAGAGCATGAAATCAGTAAAGCTGATTTTAAACCTCTACTCTGAGTCTTACTCTCTCTGTATGCCTGAGTAAGTCACTGAATTTCTGTGGGGCTTGGTTTCCTCAGCTGTAAAATGGGGTTTGAACTAGATGGTCTCTGAGGTACCCTCCAGTTCCAAGTCTGAGTCAATGATTCTATACCTCACATGATTGGTTTATTGTTGTTGTTTTTAACCAGAAAAGCACTTTATAAACCTTGAAGTACTGTATAAACATGGATCATTACACTAGGCAGCTAGCTGGTACAGTGGATAGAGTGCTAGGCCTAGAGTCAAGAAGATATGGGTTCATGAATTGGAAGTTGAGGGGATGCCCATCAGTGAAATGGCTGAGCAAGTTGCGGTATATGAATGTAATGGAATACTATTGTGCTATAAGACATGATAAGCAGGCTGACTTCAGAAAAACCTGGAAAGAGTTGTATGGACTGTCGCAGAGTGAAATGAGAAGAATCAAGAGAACATTGTACACGGTAATAGCCACATTATGGGATGATTGACTTTAATAGACTTAGCTCTTCTCAGCAATATAATGATCCAAGACAATTTCAAAAGACTTGTGATGGGAAATGTTATCCACATCCTGAAAAAGAACTATGGAGTCTGAATGCAGATCAAAGCATACTATTTTGTCTCTCTCTTTTTCCCCCTCTTTGTTCTGACTCTTCTTTCACAACATGACTAATGTGGAAATATGTTAAATATTATTGTGCATGTATAGCCTATATCAGACTGCATACCATCTTGGGGAGGAGGGAGAGGACAGAAGGTGAAAAATTTAGAGCTCAAATTCTTATAAAAATGAATGTTGAAAACTACAACTAAATAAATTTATTTTTTAGAAAGAGAAGACCAGGGTTCAAATTCTGTCTTTGATACTTATTAGCTGGGAAATGACCTGGGCAAGTCACTTAACTTCTGTCTTCTCAGTTTCCTCATGTATAAAATGGGAATAATAATAGCTCCTACCTCTTTGAGTTGTGAGGCTCAAATGAGATAATATTGTAAAGCACTTAGCAGAGTGCCAGGCCCATAGTAGGTACTCAATAAATTCTTCTTCTTCACTTCTCCCTCCCCTTCACTGAACTGAAAGCATTAGCTGTATTCTAGGAAAGAACTTTCTGTTATTTTCCAATAAAGTTAGACTTGAGTAATTGAGGTCTCCAAGGGTAGGGTCAATGTTTTTCCTTTCTTTGTATCCCCAGCAGTTAGCCCTGGCGCAGAAGAAATGTTCAGCAAATGCTTATTTATTGAAGCAGCTGGGTGGCACAGTGGATAGAGTGATGGACCTGGAGTCAGGAAGTCCTGAGTTCAAATCTGACCTCAGACGCTTCCCAGCTGTGTGACCCTAGGCAAGTCACTTAACCTGCCTCAGTTTCCTCATCTATAAATGAGCTGGAGAAGGAAATGGCAAACCACTCCAGTATCTTTGCCAAGAAAACCCCAAATGGGGTCATGAAGAGTCAGACATGACTGAAACAACTGAATAACAATAAACATCTACTGTAGGTAGGTATGAAAATAAAATTACCCTGACTCTTACTCATCAATAACTAGGCTGCCCATGCTTCTCTTACAATTATTCGAATATAAATGAAATTGGTTCCTTGAAAAGCCAGGTTCCATGGAGTCCATTGTTACCGCCATCCCATCTTCCCTGACCTATCTGATTTGAGCAACACAACTACTTCCCAGGGTTGTTGTGAAGGATCGAATAAGATGATATTTGTTAAACCTTTAGTGCAGCACCTGGCACACAGTAGGTGCTTAATAAATGCTTGTTTCCTTCTTTCTTTCTTTCCAATGAAGGTAGTTTGCCTTTTGTTCATTTTTAGGTGACCTTGTGTTTCTGTTCTTGGGAATGAAAATAATGCAACACACTTCAAAATAAATCAGAAGTAATTTAATTAATTCCAGATTTAAAAGCTGCCATTAAAAAAATTAAATAATTCACCTCCCTCCTCCCACCCCATGCCTCAGGCTAAACAGGTCAGCCTCACTTTAAGTTTAGCTTAAGAAGTAACAGGGGAGAATTCCCTCCGCCCCTCCCCAGTACTTTAAAGCATCTTCAGGTAGATCTAATAACCCACGAGTGGTGAAAATATCAGATTACTTCAGGGGACCTGTCACCTGCATTGTTTGCATAGTCAAGTGACCCTATAGAAAAGAGACAGGGAGAACTCAGAGAAAATGCTAGAATTCTAATTTGCTTTTTAAAGTCTCTTGGTCTGAAGTATAGCAATTCAGATACTCCGTTTGAAAGCAGTAGGACAGATTTGTTAGGAGACAAAAGCTCCAATTAGTATTTTCCACACCCTTTCACAATTTTCTGTACTGCTGTTGGCTCTGCAACCCTTTATGCCAGGGCTTTTGTGCTGGCAAGGGGTGGGTGGAAGGGCATGGAGGCAGGCATGGGAGGGGGCGGGGGCTGGGAGAGATGCTTGAACGATGGCACACTGGGATCTTAGAAGTGCCATCTTCCTTGACAGACAAAGTGCCTTCTCAAAAGTCAAGTGGTTTTTGAGTGAAGTGGAATTAAAGACATGGCTGTGGCTCAGGAAACAGAGGTGAGCCTGGCCGGAGGGAGACCTTACCTGTGTTGACTGAGATCCGGGCTTGTCGGATGACCACCTGTGGGGCAATTGGGATGGTTGGATGCAACTTGTGTAGACTTTTGGCGACCTGCAGGAGTTTGCCAGAGGCATCGAGCCCATATAAGAAGCGGTCCATCAGGAACACGAGAGCAGCTGCTGTGGTGAAGTCCTGGACCAGGATGGAGGCTTTCAAGTAGGCCTGGAAAGAACATGAAGAGAATGCAGCTAACTGGGAAGAATGAGAGAAGGTTAGAAAAGCCTTTAGAGTGCGATACAATCTCAGGATCTCTCTTCCCCATATTTCAGACTTTCTTTGACTGGACTTGGGATTTCACTGATGAAGGAACTCCTAGTGCAGAAACTCCCCTCAGCCATGCAGAGTGGTACTGCTATCTCCAGCCATGCCATATCCACTATGGCCATCACCTCTATCTCCTCCTCACTAAGAAATTGGACTCTGCCCCTGGAACATCCCTGGAGTTATGACAGGCCAGCTCTGGCCTTATCTCCCTCCGTTCCAGGTCACCAAAGCACTCCCTGACATCTCCAGCCATGTCCCCGGGTGTGGATCCTTCTCCTCCCCTTGCTTTCCCTCCCTTCCCAATTTCTGGCTCTCCTTTATGGTTTCTCTTTCCCTATTAAAGAGTAACTACTTGACAGCAGGGACTGTCTAACATGGTATTATTTATATTTCCAACACAGCACAGTATCTGAAACATAGAAAGTGTTTAATAAATGATTTGTCTATATCTATTTTATATTTCTATTCATCCATATATTTTCTATCACTATTCATCAATCTTCTATCACTATCCATCTATCATCTATCTATCTAATACTATTCATCTATCATCTATCTATCACTATTCCTCTACCTATCAGCTACTTATCACTATTCCTCTATCTATCTATCTATCTATCTATCTATCTATCTATCTATCTATCACTATTCCTCTATCATCTATCTATCTATCTATCTATCTATATCTATCTATCTGTCTGTCTGTCTGTCTGTCTGTCTGTCTATCTATCTATCACTATTTCTCTATCATCTATCTATCTACTATTCCTCTATCTATCTATCTATCTATCTATCTATCTATCTATCTATCACTATTCCTCTCTCTCTCTCTATCACTATTCCTCTACCTCTCTCTCAATCACTATTCCTCTATCTATCTATCTATCTATCTATCTATCTATCTATCTATCTTCTATCATAACCTTAGAGAGTTGCCTGTGTCACTGAGAGGCAGAGACTTGCTCAGGGTCACAGATATCGACATTATGTGGTAGAGGTGAAACTTGAACCCAGGTTTTCCCAAACCTGAGAGCAGCTCTCTGTTCACTACTTCATGCTTTTTTTAGTCTTCACTTTAAAAAAGAGTAGAGGAAAAATGTTCATGTGATTGACAAAAGAGAGGAGAGAGACAAGGAAACCAAGAGAAAGGAAGAAAAAGATGGGATGGCCAGGTTGGCAAAGAGACAGGGACACGTAGAGATGCTCTACATCTGTGTGACCTTTAGCGTGTGTTTTTTCTGATTCTAGGTGGCCCCATTTCAGGTCACACTACAGTAGTTTTGATACCCTTCAGTTGAATGTGCACCTGTACGTAGTATACAGCTGGGGTGTCAAGCAAAGAGAAATGGGGGCCCCTCATCCATATATATAAGGATCCCTGGAGGCTGCATATTAACTTAGTTTTAAAATGTAATATTACCTATGTTTTATTGTATTTTTGCTTATTTTGTTAAATATTTCCTAATTACATGTTAAGTTTGGGCTCTGTTCAGGAGGGTTTGGGGCAGCATGAGGCCCTCAGGCCAAGGGTCTGACACCCCTGGTATAGTGGGTAGGGAGCTAGACTTGGATTTGAAAGCCTGGGAATTCTGAATCAGTCACTTCCTAGCTGTGTGACCTTGGGCCAGTCTCTTAGCCTCTCTTATCTTGTTTCTTTCTCTATAAAATGGGAATAATATCAGCTGTCTCACGGGATTTCTAAAAGGATCAAATTGGATAAATATATACAAAGCACTATGTAGGCCTCACAGCACTATAGCTGTTTGTAGTTATCCTTTCCACATCGTGCAGGTCAGGGGTGCAGTGCCCCCACAATCTGGAAAATCCACATAAAATTTTTTGGCCCTCCAAAATGTACCAGAGAAGAAGTCTGAATTTTTCTTTTTTCTCTTATGGGGTGTTTACAGTAGTACATTATTGTAAAATTTGGGTTAAGTGTCTGGTCATAGGGTCTGCTGGCTTTCACGAGTCATCTGTGACTTCTGTAAAACTCAAAAAATTCCCATTTAATTTTTTATGTTGACCCTCAATATATAAAAACCACAATGGGAAAAGTTGAGATGTAGAAGGAATATCTATCAATGTATCTGTGTATCTGTCTATCCATCTAATAGTTATTTAAATTCCATGTCCCTTATGCAGAAATAACAGTCATTTGCAAATACATTGGAACCTCTTTGTACTTCTCATCTAGGGAGTGAGAGCTAAGTCCTCTGCCTTATCTTGCTCCTTTTTTATTTTGTCTAGGCAATGGGGTTAAGTGACTTGCCCAAGGTTACACAGCTAGTCAGTGTTAAGTGCCTGAGGCCAGATTTGAACTCAGGTCCTCCTGACTCCAGAGCCTGTGCTCTATCTACTGCGCCACCTAGCTGCCCCTCCTCCTCCTCCTTTTAGGAAAAGGATTTGAAATGGACCTGTTTCCAAATCAAAATATTGAGTACCGGTTCAGCAAATAGACAAAAGACTAAATCCCTGAGTCACAGTCTTAGCCAGACCATTTTCAATAGTAGTGACATTTCAGGAAATGTGGTTTGATCTGAGGCATATTTGTTTTTTTGTTTTAATATAAATTTATTTATTTTTAGTTTTCAACATTCACTTCCACAAGTTTTTGAGTTCCAAATTTTCACCCCATCTCACCCCTCCCCCCACCCCAAGATGGCATGCATTCTGAATATCCTTTCCCCTAGTCTGCCCTCTCTTCTATCTCTTTCCCCCCGAATCCCCTTCCCCTTCTATTTTCCTGTAGGGCAGGATGCACTTCTGTACCCCATTTCCTGTATTTCTTATTTCCCAGTAGCATGTGAAAACATTTTTTTAAAACAATCTGAGGAATATCTGAATGAATGAATGAACGAACTATTACAGTGTAAATGCTACTGGATGCAGTTGGCAGGAAAGGAGGCTGCTGTTGCTAATTCATTTTCATTGTGTCCAACTGTTCATGACCTCATTGGGGGTTTTCTTGGCAAAGATACTGGAGAGGTTTTCCATTTCCTTCTCTAGCTCATTGTACAGATGGGGAAACTGAGGCAAAGTTAAGTGACTTGCCCAAGGTCATACAGCTAGTGAGTGTCTGAGGACAGATATGAACTCAACTCCTTTTTGACAATTGCTCCAGGCTATAAATCTTTAAGGCTGGGCTACAAATATTTCAGGACCTACAATTAGGGGACTGCATCTATGAACTTGTTTGTGAGCAGATAGTTTCTGCTATAATCTCACCTCCAATGTACACACACACACACACACACACACACACACACACACACACCCCCTGTCAGGAACCCTGATAGAAGCCTCATCTCTGAAGGTGGAAATATGAGAGGAAGTATGAGAGAGAAAAGGATTTCCAAAAGGCTGAAAGTTCTGTCAGGCCTATGTAGCCACAGCCCTAACTGTTACATCTCAAGCCCACCAGATTTTGTAAACTCCCCAAATATGCCTGTTTGCTTACCACTCAAATACTTCAGTGAATCTGTCATCTCATCATATGGATGTTCCAGTGATGCAGATTGTAACCCATCCATGTCTGGCCATTCTGGGAGACTTTTGCTCATATTCTTCTAGAATTACAGTATGAAGGGTCCATCCAATGTGCTAGAAGCCTTCCTTCATTTGTTCTCACATTGGGAGGGGATTAGTGGAACACTCTGGCTTCTCTCTGGTCCTCATTCACTCTTACCGTGTGACTAGTCCATCTGCACTCCCTATAGCACCTTTGAAACATTTCCTTCAAATCCAATGGGTCTTGATGACAAGGCCAGCCCATGCTTTTATTTCTGCAATTGCTTTAGCTTTTTTTTTTTTAAATTAATGGGATTTTATTATAAGTATGTCAAGGTAGCAATACATTGATGGGATGATCACTGAAGATCAGCAATGGAGTAAAGGTGGGGCCAGCTCTTAGAGGCAACTTTAAGACAATTCAGAGGTCCACATCAGCAGAAGAAGTTGAACCCTTGTGTGTCAGTTCCTCCCCAAGGTAAATTGCTTTAGTTTCAAGGGACGGGTTTTGGAAATTAAAATTATGGATTAAAAAAAAACTGGGGGCAGCTAGGTGGTGCAGTGGATAGAGTGCTGACCCTGGAATCAGGAGGACCTGACTTCAAATCCAACCTCAGAACATAACACTCACTAACTGTGTGACCTTGGGCAAGTCACTTAACCCCATTGCCTAGCCAAAAAACAAAAACAAAAAACGGACACAAAAAAACTGGACAGCTTTCAAAGCAATGACAGAATCTCTTCAGCTAAAGATCTGCTATCCCACTCTTAATGTATTCAAAATACAAGGAAGAAGGACATTGAAATTGGAAACTGTTCCTGGAAGAAAAAACACTTAATTTTGTCATGGTTGGGTTTTTCTGCAACCAACAGTGACCATGACGCCTCTATAATTTATCAGATCCTAGATGTAGAACTCATAGATGTAGAACTCTAGACCATTTAGTTCAACTCAATTTTATTTTGTTTTTTGGAGTCAAAATATTTATCAAGTGTATCAAGTTCTCTTAGGAACCCCACAAAAGTAATGTGTAACAGTAAACCTGCCCACAAGGAACTTACAATCTAAAACAAACAATAGTCGTGCAGACACTAGTTATCTAAGAGGAAGAAGGACTGGGGAGGATAGGATTGAAATTAAAGAGGAAAAGTGGCTGCATATTCAAGTGACCATACACTCCATGGGAAGTGGCCTTGAAATGTTTGTTGTTCAATTTCAGGAAAATGATTAATGTGATGCTACGGGCAGGTAGGTGGCACAGTGGATAGAACACTGCGCTTGGAGTCCTGAGAACATGAGTTCAAATTCAGCCTCAGACACTTACTAGCTGTGTGACCATGGACCAGTCACTTAACCCTATTCGCCTCAGTTCCTCATCTGTAAAATGAGC